GTTGCAAAGCTTGAGCTGATGAAAGACGTGTTTATCTATCTGACAGCACCATTACACAAAAACAACTCAGGTTACCTGATTCCTCCCAGCTGGAGTTGGGTTTATAGGTCAGTTTTTATTTGAAATAATGTAATACATACATAAATAAAGATTTATAAAGATATATTGACACTCGGGTCACTTTTATGACTGAAATGAGACCTTGATTAATAAAAACTTTTAAAAAGATTTGCACATAAAACATGTAGCCTACCTTTTTTAAATTAAGATTTATTTTACCCTTTTTTCTTTGAAACTCAAGATTTAATTGGTGGTTGTTTTCTGTCGGTTCATTGTCTATCTGTCTGACAGCAGGATTACACCAAAAAAACGTAACCTCTGTGGAAATGAAGCTTAAAAAAAACACGTCTAAATACACAAAGACACCCACATTGTGTAACGCTTTGTTGACATTGCAACATTGGGCATTTGTAGTGCATTCAAGTGACGTTAGAATAATTGGAAATATGTGTTTCCAAGTGGGAGCAATTCACATTAAAGCCTGAGACACAACTCAAACAACACATCTAGCTTTTAACACTTGCTAAACATAAACAACTTATAAAGAATTGGCCTGAATAGTGTAAAGAAACATCTATGTTATTATCTCAGCCCTCCATCTAAACTACTCATCATCTTCTTGTGATCGTCTAATTGTGTTTGCACTGAAAATACATTTAGGCAAAATGAAATCTATCAGCAGGTTTTAGATACAAGGGCAAACAGCAGATGACAGCTATGACATTTACAGTGGAGGGGGGGAGGGGAGAATCTTTGTTGACATATGCAGTTCTTATAAACACAGATGACACAGGCCCGTATTGTGTCAGTAACAGTCAGTTAGCAGCGCTCAAGTTGTTTTCTTTCAAACTAGGCGAACTACTCAAGCACAGGCGTGAAAACACGATAAATTGATACATGAAACTACACTTTAATACACAATGAAGCCTTTTATTATGCATGTATGGATATAAACATGCATAATAATGTCTTTAAGGTTTTTAAATGTGATGCATTACGTATAAAACACTTAACATGCACTACGGTTGTCATTGCTTGCCTTTTTGGGCCCCAATTGAAACAGCTTGGTCAGATATAGTGTGTGACCTCTGCTCTATATTTAAATCTGACTGAGAGATCAAGTGATAGAAAAGTAACCCAATAGCTCGGCCTTGTAAACTGCCATCTCTGATCTTTGCAGAAATGTCAAGAATGTATATGTCACAGCAACATGACAATGGGATGTTGTGCACACAATAGAGGGAGGGGCTTTGGCATCAACTGTAGATGTTAGTGACAAAAGGAGACAAAGGTTAAGATTACATTTTTTCCACTGGAGTAGCTTGAAACTCAGGTAGAACAAATCTGAGCGATCAAAGAGAGAATGAAGTCAAGAGCAATACAAGTAGGGGGGGTTGTTAAAAACACAGAAGTGAAAAGAGAAAGAGTGTTCTGTCAGACACTGCTTGAATACCTTCTCCCAGAAAACCACCATTTGCATGTCAATTGTTCACGCTGTGTTACCTTGAAATGCTTGAAGAAAACTTCTCCTCGCATGCCTCTGCAGTGACGTAAACTCTTGGTGAACTGAGGTAACCTAGGGCCATGTTTAACACAACTAGAAGTCAGTTTACAAACTCTCACAACTTGTGTTAGTATAATCCAGGTTTTATTTAATCCAGTGATATGCTCAAAACTTCCTAAAACTTCCATGCTTTTTTGCTAAAAACCTTACTCGTCCACACACGTCTGGACAATCATGAAGTGTTGGAAATAGTACGGCTATTGCGAATAAACATATGAATTAATGAATTTTAAAAAATGTGACCCTATTCCAACATGTACTGAGCGCTCAGGATAGTCTGCTTATTGCCCCTTATCGCCATTTGTATCCGGAAAATTCTGGCTCCTGCCATTAGCATGCTAGTTAGCTTAGCCTTGCTAGCAAACGTTAGCCTAGCCTCAGTTGACAAAACATCTGTGTCAAACTGTAAACTGAAATTGTTCAATAGAAGTTGGTTATGTCTGTGGATACAGCTTACAAACTCACACAACTCATAATCAAAACTTCCTAAATACATGCATTTTAGCTAAAAACCTTATTTGCCGTCTGGACAATCATGAAGTGTTGGAAATAGTACGGTAATGGTGAATAAACCTAAATAATATTGAATTCAGAAAATGTGACCCACTACCAACATGTACTGAGCTCTCAGGATACTCTATTAACTTCTCCTTTTGTTCAGTTCCTTGTAAAATGTAAGAGGAGTTTTACCCGGAAAAGTCTGGCAGTTTTTCACTTTGGAGCTCCTGCCATTAGCATGCTAGTTAGCTTAGCCTTGTTAGCCTCAGTTGACAACACATTTGTGTCAAACGGTAAGCTGAAATGGCTCCAGTGAAGTTGGTTATGTCTGTGAATACACTTCAAACATTGAATTAACAATGACTTCACTCACTTCTAAGCAGAGTGGACAGTGACTACTTCATGCTGCAGATTCAGAACATGCTAACGTAATAACTTTCAGCAGCTACATGCAGCCACACTGGAAATAAGGACTAAGAAAATATGGTCTAAAAGCTTTATCCCCTCTACAATCTGCCCTCACATGTTTATTTTAGTCGGGCTGTTGTGCACGACTTGTATAAATCTGCAATTCAGGAATTATAGGAGTGCGCTGTGCAATTACATTCCCGTAATTACACATTCAGACCTTCGCTCTACAGTGAACTGCCTCCTTGGTGGACGGCTAAAAGCTTTTTCTACTCACATATCTAGTTATTTAAGAGTCTCGTTTCACTCTTACAGTATATAGGCTAATAACAAAGAACATTCATTGTGTAAGGAATTACAAATATTATACACTGACTATTACGATCTACAGAAGGAAGACATGCGGTGTGAATGCTGTATGCTGAAACTTAATACAAACATGTGGATCAATTATGGTTATCAGAATACCTTTATTCGTCCCACAGAGGGGACATTTGCATTTGTTACGGCAAAAAGAGCCGAAGACAGCCTAATATTAACTAAGAAGCACGCATAAAAAAAATATTAAAGATTAAAAAAAGATATAGCAGCCAGGTATATATTGCACAGTTATTAACGGCATATATATATTTATAAAACGGACAAGTCAAATCAAGCAATCTGATTGGTTCTTAGCCGTGATATACTGAGCGTATACCACGGGTAGAATTGTAAGTTACTTTTCACAACAAGTCAGTATCCCTCCGCGTCTGAGAAAAACAGTATACCGTTGGGCTGAAAAGCAAACTGCCGGCAGTCCGCTTCTCGTCGGACCGAACCACGCCCCTTAGCTGTGATATAATGAGCATATACCACGGCCTGTCGTGAGCTATTGCTTAAATATATTGCACATAATTTATATTTCACAACAAGGGGTGTTATAGTATAGTCTTTGTTGTTATATGTGTCGACCAGGGACCATGATGGTTATATAGTCTGACATTTGAGTTATTATTTATCCACATAAAGTTAAAATAATAATACATTATATTTTGATAGCGTTTTTCCTAATGCTCAAAGACGCTTAAAATCTAATGTTATGAATGTATGGATGTTATGAAGAGTAATAACCGTCGATTGTATTATCGAGCTGAACATGTTGATGTTTTTTCGACGAGGAATCGAATGGAGAAGAAGCCAATCAGAATGTTGCATTAGAACATATTCTTCTGTTGTTCTTCACATCTGTGATTTTGTATATTCTACGGTACTGCAATACCACCTGGTACAAGTGTCTGTCTATACTGCTTTAAAATCAAAACTGCTCCACCTGTTAAAGTCTGCTCAAAGATTGTTGGTCCACCCGGTCAGAGACTTTCTGACTCAGCAGACCATAATAACCTGAGATGCTGTCCAACAACATCATCTGGGACCCAAAGCATGCTCTGAACAGAGAATATGAACTGCTACAACATGTGTCCCCTCTTCTTCATGTCTCTTCTACATCAACATGTGTCCCCTCTTCTTCATGTCTCTTCTACATCAACATGTGTCCCCTCTTCTCCATGTCTCTTCTACATCAACATGTGTCCCCTCTTCTTCATGTCTCTTCTACATCAACATGTGTCCCCTCTTCTCCATGTCTCCTCTACATCAACATGTGTCCCCTCTTCTTAATGTCTCTTTTGCATCAACATGTGTCCCCTCTTCTTCATGTCTCTTCTACATCAACATGTGTCCCCTCTTCTTCATGTCTCTTCTACATCAACATGTGTCCCCTCTTCTTCATGTCTCTTCTACATCAACATGTGTCCCCTCTTCTTCATGTCTCTTCTAAATCAACATGTGTCCCCTCTGTGGAAAGAGACTCTGAAAGTTTCAGGAAAAAAGATTCTCTCTCTTTTTGTCCTGATCCATTTCTATAAAAACCTGTCTGAAAATGAGCTGATCAGATTTTGGCCACTTTATGATGTCATAANCACACGACACAGACGCGAGCACACACTTCCTCCGCTCAGATTCTGTTTTTCATTTACACCTCCTCCTCGTTATCTGACCAGCTCAATCTTGTAACGGCTACTCACTTTCGGTTTCGTTGGAGCCCTCGAAAGGTTGTGTGGGGAGGTTGATCCCTCGGTGGACGTGAGTTGTTTGGCTTTCTTGTCCGCAGCGCAGAGAAGCATTTTTCGACATTTTGAATGAAATCAAAAGTGGTCGTCACCCGTCGATTTTCTCTTATGCTCCAACACACAGCTTGCACGGGGTGCAGACAATAGTTCTCCCCACTGTTTTGCTCGGTTTGTAGTAAAAGTGTTCGTCGGTAACAGTGGATTAAGTTCTTTGCCATGCTTGGTGGTTTTCTCTCGTGTGAGCTCCACACGTTCCACTCTAGTACAGTGTTGTTTACATTCCTGATGCGCGAGCATGATGACGTCACGTCAAGACGAGTCACTTTTTTCCCCTCAACTTTGTGGGAAAAATGCGGGATTAGTGCGGCCTGTTTAAAGAATCTGCGCATTTTGCCTGATTATGCGGAGAATTCTGCGATGGCAGAATCGTGTTTTTCAGAGAGGGCTGACTATCGAAAACATGGCTTTATAAGATACGCTTAAATGGATTTAAACTAAGCAGCAACAGCGGAAACAAGTTGATTGAGGTGAAGGTTTGGCAATCATAGGCATTTGCTTACCGCTTTCTAATGAAATCTATAAAAAAAACTTCAGTAATCACAAAGACCAGAAGTGAAGCATAAACAACGTAAGATTCAACAGTTGTTTATGCTTCCACTTCTGGGTCTTTGTGATTATCGGAAGTTTTTTTTATCAGTATTCTTTTCATTAGAAAACGGTAAAGAAATGCCATGATGTTGCGCAAACCTTCCTCAATAAACTTGTTTCCGCTGTTTGCTGCTAAGTTTAAATCCATTTAAGCGTATCTTATAACGCCATGGTTTTGATAGTCAGACCCTCCTGATAAAAAACACGATTCCCTGCGATCGCAGATTTACCGCATAATCAGCAAAATGGCGCAGATTTTTAAAAGGCCGCATAATCCACCCGCATTTTTCCACCAAAGTTGCAGGGGAAAAAAGTCTGACTCGTCTTGAACTGTGACGTCATCCAGCTCGCGCATCAGAATGTATAACAACAGCTGTATAGAGTGAACGTGTGTGGAGCTCCACACGAGAGAAAACACCAAGATGAAAAAATCTAATCCTCTTACCGACGAACATTTCTACCTAAGACCGGGCAAAGAGTCGGGGGGAAACTATTCTGCACCCCGTGCACTGTGTGGTTGGAGCATAAGAGAAAATCGACGGTGACGACCACTTTGATTCATTCAAACATTCGAAAACATGCTTTCTGCTGCTGCGGACAAGAAAGCCAAACAACAACGTTCAACCGAGGGATCCACCTCCAAACTTTCGAGGGCTACAAGAAACGCACACGCTGGTACGCCTACAACCGTGAAGCTGGTCCAGATAAGAACGCGTCAAATGAAAACACGAATGAGGCGGAGAAGTGTGTGTGTGGTGTGTGTGTGTGTGTGTGTGTGTGTGTGTGTGTGTGCTGCCTGTGTGTGGGGGGGTGTGTGTGTGTGTGTGCGATTAAAATAGCCCAATTGCTTTTATAATAAATAAACATTGAATGTGTTTAATTGAATAGTAAAGGGGTTTAACGTTAGTGGCAGGTTGTGTGTGAGAGAGAATAAATAAGACAGCCCAATATTTAAAAAAATTGTTATTCTTTTCCCCCGCATATTTAGCATATTTCGCAGCTTTCCGCATATTTCGCAATTTCCCGCAATTTCACCGCATAAAATCACATAAAAACTCCTTTAATCGCATAATCAAGGATTTTAGCCCGCGTTTTTCTGGAGGGTCTAAATAGTTTGCCAACCAAAGGGTGGAGCTACCGAAGATAATGTCCACAAAACCACACAAAAATCTTTGATCACGAATGCATAGGAATATGTTTTGAATAAATAAAAGTGTATTTTTAGTTTGGGAGAAATGAATAGAAAGCAGCGGTTGTAATCTGTGTACCTACTGGTCTTTCTGCGTGATCATACATATTTTGAAGTATTGCATTAAAAAAGCTATATAGAAACACGAGTAGCTGACTTGTGGGATAACAGCTGTTTGCTGACAGTTTAAATCCATTTAAAGTGTTGATCATTAGCCAGCCAATGGGTGGAGTTCACCAAAGATGTTCCCAGTCCAATAAGAATAGGTTATTGTATAGTCTGGGAGTACGGATTATAGGGCAGTGGTTGTAATCAGTGTATCTTCTGGTCTTTCCTCATGATTCTCTTACGTATTTCTATGAACATTTTGAAGTGTTTGTATTAGAAACGCTATTTAACCCTCCTGTTATCCTCAGATTGACTTTACACCCTTTATCCTCTGGGGTCAAGACAATGATCATATTCCAAATTGTAACCAACATGTATGTCTCTGGTGCTTTAGGTATCTTAGTTGACTACCTAAATAACCATTTAAATAAAGACATTACCTCAACCTCCCCCCCCCCCAGACC